TGTGTTTGGCTAAGTTGGCTGATGTCTGGTTGGCTGTGTGCTGAGATGTAGTCAGTCTCTCATCCATCCTCTGACACCCTGACTTGGGCTCACCAACTTCATGGCAATATTCAATGCCCCGCAGACTAGCAAGGCCCAGTATGTTATTACTTTTCAAGTCAGTGCTTGTAACACATTTGCTAATATCACATTGGCCAAAAGTCCTAGATTATGGGAGTGAAAGAGGACTCATTTTTTCATGGATGGAAGAAAGAATCATGGGCATTTTTACACTCCATTACTGGTGCTTTATATTTTTATTATACTTTTTAAAAGCTTGGGAGGATTTTTGGTCTATAGTTATGCTAGAATGATAAAGCCATTAAAAAAGAAAAAGGATAACTCTACCAGATATGGAGGATAAAGAATGAAATGAGATTCCTAAAAAGGCAAGTGCTGCTGTGATTCAGAGGACACAGGGATAAAATGCTTTTAAAAAGAAGAAAGATTTCCATTTTGTTACCTGAATGTGAGCTCGTGACCAGAACAGTGCAAGGTCAAATCAGTCATACAGCACGAAGACAGAGGAAAAGTTACTAACATGCACACATGAGTGGAGAAGTGAACAAGCCTTCAGCATGCTCTCCATGTCTGTCCAGCTAAAGGGGTAAATAAAGAGTTTTGAAACACTAATGCAAAAATCTGACAGTTGACTATTTTTATTCTCATAGATTAAAACTCAAACTCATTGTGGTGAAGTCAGAACCAACTCATAGCTGACCCTCCCAAGGATTTTTAGTGGTTGTACTCCAAATGAAAGGAGACTATTCATCTTTCTCCTAAGGAACACCTGGTGGATTCTAACCACTTGCCTTTGTGTTGATAGTGCAACTCTTTACCCACCAGGCCATCAGAGTGTAATCTCAGAAATGGCCTCTAAAAGAACAAAGGTTGCTATCTTAGCTACTACCATAAATGCTATCTCTGACCCTCCCATCAGCTGTAAGTTCTGTTTTTCTTCAAAAGTCAAGTGGGTCCTGCCATTCAGACTCTAGAGTTCCTTGGAATGGGGATTGGAGAGTTAATGACTTTTCTTCATGTTATTTCTGTACATTGGGTCATCCATTCTTCATTAGAATGAAGGAAGGAGAGGAAATTGGACCTAGAAAGAAAAAAAAAAACAAACAACCACACACACACACAACAAAACAAAGCAACAATTTATTCAATATTCTCAATTTTTCCTGGAGATAAGATACCTGAATAATCTCTTGGATATTATGGGGGAAGTGGCAGGTAAAGAATTAGCAGAGAGTTTTAACCTTTTGGAACCACTGTTGTGAAGAATGAGAGAGGAAGTCAGGAACACCCTGTGCTAGAATGGAAGAAAGTAAAACAACTATGAAAGAGAAACTGTAAATCTTGTATTTGTGATGACATTATTCCACAATGTCTCTCTCACCTGCCCACATGTGAATTAGAATATGGTGCAAGAAAAGCACAAACCTTACTTTCAGCTAGTACTGTAACACAGTGTCCAATTCATAAATCAAGAACAGTGGCTCTGCCAATAAGTGAGTTGTTTTATTTAGTTTTTCCTCACCAGCATTAAATAAGCTAGAGATAGGAACACAGGGATTGATTCAAAGCTAGATTGGCAAGAGACAAAGATGGCTAAAATAATGAGGACAGGATCCAGAAGGTTGACTCTGGAAAAAAAAATATTCATTAACTCAGAATGCCAAGTAGTTAGAAATGAGGGTAATGAGACTGGATTGCAGCAGAGACATTTTACTATGAAAAACACATCTTTTGTTCATGGTAATACATTTAGACACAACAAAGCTTATGGAGTTTTGAACATAAGTGTGTATTGATTCAATTTTAAGGAGAAAAGTGCAACATTGAATGAATGGAAATCCACAATCTCTGTAACTGTTCATTGAAATTAATAAAAAAAAATCAATGTGATGGTGGATTACAATGAAGTATAACTCTCACTGCCTTCCAGTTGAGACTTGACTCTCAGTCGATTTTGACTCCTAACAACCCCCCTTCAGGTTTTCTAAGCTGTAAGGACGATTTCCCATTTTTTTTCTCTCCCAAGAAACAATTGACACATTGGGATATACAACAAAAGTTGATTAATATTACCGAATAGGGACATTATATCCACAAACATTCTCAGAAGACCCTCAGTGGTCATTTATCTTGGGTAAATTATGACTTCAGTAATTAGAAATTTTAATCTTAAAGAATTTGGAGGGTTTTTATTTTGTGTTTTGGTTTTTTTTTCTTCTTTCTCTTAATGAGACTCTTAAAATTATGGTTCTACGATCTTCATGCAGTGGTAATTGGAATGTAATTAGGATGAATTTGCTGTTTTGTTGTAGAAATTAAACTTATTTGGAAACAGGTAACTAACTATGAAGCTAATGGGATTTTTGTAGTTCAGTGACTGAATTATTGAAGGGCTAACCAAAGAAGGAGTAGTTAGAATCCACCAGCTGCCCTGTTAGAAAGAGATACGATGGTCTGCTTCTGTAAAGACACTTGTTGTTTATCATCAAGTTGAGTTGATCCAGAGCTGTCACTCCAGCAAGGTTTCAAAGATAGTAAACCACATGGGAAGAAATTGGTCATCCTTTTCGCATGGATCAGCTGATGGATTTGCATGGAGTACTTTTGTGTTGGCAGGGCAATTTCTAAGAGGAATTTCTACTCTCTCCTGTAGGATTGCTATGTGTTGAAATAGATTCATTGGCAGTGGCTTTGAATTGTTATAAGTTTACAGAATTCCTTAATTAACAACTCTTTTCAGCTTTACAAAAGCAAAGACATTCTAAAATCTTGAGATTTCTTTGTTCTGTCTATGAGGAAAGACCAATCATAAGAACAATTAGTGAAGACCTTTAATTTTGTTTATATGGGGATAGCAGGGAGACCCAAACTGTGACCTGAAAGCGCTGTTAATTCTACAACAATGTTTTTGGATGGTGTGGTGTTTTTTTTTTAAGAGTAAATACTAATTTGACAAGAGATGACTACATAACTACACTGTGCTAACAGAAACATTTGGCAGCCCAGATAGTAGTTTTTAAATTTAAGTGTATTCTCCCACCACATGAATCAGTTATGCAATCACTTACTGGTTCAGGAGAGTTGTTTCTTAGTGAAACATGTGAGAGAATTGTTAAGCTTTTGTTTTTCATAAAAATAAATAAAATTGTTAAGCTTTTATTGTTATTTTTATTTTTGAATTCTTCTTGATCTTCAAGTACCTCTGATTTTGAGGTTTTCCTCATTTTGTCAGTGAAGGTGTGATGGGTCAGTGGTAAAGAATTGCCCTGCCAATGCAAGGATAGGTGGTTTGAATCCACCAGTTGTTCCATGGGAGAAAGATGGGCAATTTCCTCCCAGGCATCTGAAAACCCTCTACGAGTGTCAGCTATGAGGCATTTCCAACTCTATGGTATTATTCCATGGAGGATTATGTATGCAGCAAAATTCTATGTTGCAAGAATACACATCAATATGAACGTAAAAGAAGGACTTATTTATTTTGAGTATGTTTGCCAAGTAAATGAAAAATTTAGATCTAAAATTAGCTTTTTTAAACTTTTGAGCTTAAAATGCTATGATAGGATAATCATTGCCAACGACTTGATGGAAGTATCCTTAACATATTATAAAGCAACATCAAGAACCTTTATACTATGCTTGGAAAACAAGATTTTCCTAATTGCTTTTTTCCTATATATTGGCCTAATATGTGACTAATGCATGGTGCATAAAATACTTAACAATTATGCAATAATATTTGGAATGAATAATATTCCCTAAATTCTTACTACACAGAAGGTTAAGCCCTAGAACTACTTAATCAAAAGCTTGAAAGTTTGAATCCTCCTACAGGTGCCTCCAAAGTGAGGCCTGTAGTCTGTTTCTGACAGACAGAGTCTAGGAAATCCTGTAGAACAAGTTTTCCATGTGGGACATCATGGATCAGAACACCTGTTATAACTAACCACTTGTTAGGAACATGCTTTTATCCTTTCTCTTTGTTTGATGCAGTCAAGTCAATAATTTTGAAGGAAGAACCTCTATTTAGAAAATTTTACTTTAGAGACTCTTAGTCTTTCAGTGCTGACTACCTACATACTAAATGTTTTTGTTAAAATAGCAAAATCAAGCACCTTGTTACTTCATGGTGCTACTCACCAACTTTTGGAAGGTGCCTTTTTTGTTTTTTTCTGTAGGATGTCCTGGATTACTTTATTTCAAGCAGATTACATTTGTAAAGCACTCTGGTTTTTTTGATCATACTTTTGATGTAATTCTAGCATAACCCAAGCCTTTTGTTAAATGTTCATTCAGACAATTCAGATTATCTTCTAAATAAGCTAAAACTGCCCTTTTCTTTACCAATATAAATATATCACTTTTGTAGTTGTTGTTACTAGGTGTTATTTTTTTTGAAGTATGGGCATTTTTTTTTTTAGGTTTATAACTTGTAGGAATAGCCCAAAGTCTCAGAGTTTATAAAAACCTTAAATACTTGAAGTGTGGTAAATCTTTAAAGGACTATAGCCATTATCATTATAGTATGTGTTCTATTGTTCCAATGGAAGAAAATATCTTCTAGATACCAATGTAAATTTTTGAAAGTTATACTGGTGACGATTTAAATATTTTCAAACCATACAATTCCAAATTAGGATAACTATTTTGAACATTGTTAGTGAGTTCTTTTTCATATGCAAGCATACAATTTCATATTGATTTTTATTCTTACAAAGAAAAATAGGTTACATTCACAGTTTATGTTTATTTCAAATTCAGAACAATGTGTCATATGCAAAACAGAATCGCCTTCATTTTTGTTGAGGTTTAGATGTGTGCTCTTATTTGTGCTAATAAGAGGACTGTTTGCATGAACACACACAAGTGACAGGGATATTTTGATAGTTTTCCAAGTAATGAATGTCCTATTTCAATCTGTCTGTTTCTCTTTCCTCTAGTTAACTGCTTCTCCCACTACCTCTGAGCAGCTTGCCTGTAAAACACCTGCTTTCTCTGTTTCTCCAACTAATCAGAAACCAGGACCTGACCCAGTTAATCTCAGCAGCGCCTCTGTCCTAGAGGAGTTCCACAGTAGGAGGCACCATGGCGGTGGGGTCTTTGTGGAAGAAACAGCTACTTATTTTCAAACTTCTGCTCACTCTTCACCCTCTTTGGCATCGAAGGCCACTTCCTCGAGGCTACAGTTTGCCCCTTCTACTCAGCTGCCATGTTCTAATTTGTCCAGTCCAAGTTCAGCAGATCAAAAACCTGGACTGACACCTGAAGTTCTAAAGAAGACAACAACGTTAACCTCCCATGGTCTCAGTCCTGGAGAAAGTTCGAGAACCGCTTCCCCTGCACCACCCTCTAGTTCTTCCCTGAAGCCAAATGCAGCTTTGTACATCCCAGTTCGTATTATCACACACTCACTCTCTCCAAGCCCCAAACCATTTGTCTCCTCTTTCCGTGGCTCTTCTTCTACTATCTGCAGTCAAATGTCGTCTACTGGAAATCTCTCTAAGTCAGGGGGGAAGTGTCCAGTGCCCTCAAGGCTGTCCCTCCTCACTGCTATTCTCAAGTCAAACCCTTCTCACCAAAGACCATTTTCCCCTGCCTCCTGCCCCACTTTTTCTCTCAACTCCCTCACCTCTTCCACACTCACACTTGATCAGAAAGTAAAGCAGACCCCGCCCACACCTAAGAAATCACTCTCAAGTAGCTGCTTAACAGCAGGGTCCTCAGAACAAGGAAAGCATCACCTTTCGGAATTTGCCCCGCCATCCTTTCCTGTACCTGCTTTCACTGAGTCTGTTCCATTTTCTCTGGGGCCCTCGTTTACTCCTACAACACATGAGAGCAGTAGCCTTGTTTCTCCCAATGTAGAGAAAGGGCCACCACCGTCCACTTCTTTGAAGAGTAGCACAACATTCTCCCAGCTCCAAGCCAGTATGTTTGGTTCTGTGGGGCTTCCTCCTGTTCCACCAAGCACATCTCTTTCACCATTCAAAGGCAAACAGGATACTGACCTCAGGGATCTGGAAAAGCTCAGGAGTCTTCACACACACACAACCACTTCAGCCTCCTCTGCACCATCTTCCATATCTTCTGTTAACCAAAAAGCCATGCTTTCCTCTTCAGAGAAATGTTTCCAACCTTCCGCAGCTCTTTACAGCATGATGAACAGATCTAGAAAAACATCACCCCACCTGTCTGGGCAGAGAGGGACCCCTTCACACCCCATCTCAAATGCCAGTACTGCCTCTCTTTCTACCATGGGGTACTCCTCTCTCCCTCATGCTAATCCGCTCATCCCAGAGCCCCAGCTCAGCCCTTCAGCACTGCACCCATATTCTGACAGTAGGACCTTATCTTCAAGATCTGGGAAATCTCAAGGCACAATATCCGACCATAGATTATTTGCATCAACCCCATCACCTCCCATCTCGCTAACAAGAACCACGGAGCTGATTTCACCTTGTGCATTGCCCATGTCAACAGACCATGAAAACATGAAACCAAAGGTATTATTTTTTTTTTCCACATTGCATGGTGCATGCTTATTTTAACATATGAAAGAGTCTTTGTTCACAGATGAAAATAATTTCTTTTACATACTAATTTTGTTCCTACAAGGACTATAGTACTTATGTAAGGGAAAGTGCTATTTATTATATTTGAATGTGTAAGTAAATTATATTATAATCTCTCTTAAGTTATAGATGTTTCAGAAAAACATCTTTGGTTTTATAAATCCACTTCTTACTAAAGCTTGTTGCACATCTGATTGTAAATGTATTTTTAAAGGTAGGATTTGAATTAGATCATTGACCCTCTGACAGAATTAGAACTGGTTGATATTTGGGAACGTAATGTGATTCTGATTATTGAATAATATGGAGCCTATCATCCATCAAAATATCCTGTATTGACAGAATAGAAGACAAGATTACTTTAAAATTGGGTATTTTATCTCAGAGTTGGGTTAATATTACTGTGATGTCAGAGTGAAAAACCTTTATATTTATTTTGCCCAATTCATTTAGAATTATTAATTTTCTTACTAACTATGAGGTTGATTTATTATCTCTACCATAAGGTAAATCAACATTGACTTAACTATGTAGGTATAGGGAAACAGGAAGCAGACAAATCTACTGTGAAAGTTGTCTCTTTTACATAAACACTAAACATATAGCAATTACAAGATAAATAAGAAGTGGGGAAACTGGATATAAGGCAATAAAATTGAGAAGAAATATAAAGCAACCCATTGAGCAAAGATATGAAAATGACACTATTTTTTTTTCTTCATGAAAGGAAATATTTGAAAGAATGACACCAGAAATCAGTTTCCCTGGTGGAATAGAATAGAATAGAACTTAGTTCTATTCTAAGACATGATAGCTTCCAAACTTTTCTCAAATAATTCATAATTCAGATCTACCCAGGATCTGGGAGTTGTTTTATTAGTAAAACAAAAATGAAATTTTCTGTATTACTAAGAGGGAGGGATTTTAAATTATAATAACTTTTAAAGCTTAAAATTAACATAGGATTTAACTTAACAATGCCACTCTTTAGATGATAAAAACTTAGAGATGAAGGGACTCTTATGGTCTTATGTGCATTGTAATTCAACTTAAATAAACCCCACACAAAAACAGATGCATCAAGTATCTTCTGGATGACTACCCCTGGTCTAGTTTTCTTCTTATTTTTTTTTTAAATATTATTAAGGAATAATTGTTTACCCCTAATCTATATGTTGTTATTTGCCAAAGAGTCATCTCTAATTCACGTTGACCTTTTGTACAACATGAAACCCACCTCACTCTGTACCATCCTGGTAAACTCTGCTATGCTTGCGACCATTTTTATGTACACACACACATACACACATTTACACATATAATTTAGAGCAACCACCAAAAAATAATAAGACAATACAAACATAATGAGATGTAAATATAGACAAGAAAATCACTAAAGGAGTGTGAGACAACAGGTCTATTATGTTCTTTTGCTGTTAGGTGCCGTTGAGTTGAATACAACTCATAGTGACCTTATGAACAATAGATCTGAACCCTGTTCTATCCTGTGCCATCCTCACAATCTCTGACACACCCAAGCCCTTTGCTGCAGTCATTGTGTCAATCCACCAAGTTGAGGGTTTTCCTCTCCTTCCTCATCCCTCCACCTTTCCAAATATAATGTCTTTCTCCAAGGAATAGACTATTCTAGTAATACACCCAAATAATATAGGAAATCCTATATCCTGTATTATTGTTAGATATAATTAATAAGAGAAGTTCTGTTAGGAATATGCATGTTTAGTGAGTTGACATTTCACAAATGGAAACACAAAACCAACAGCTTTGCCTTGTTGTTGTTACGTGCCATAAAAGTCGCCTGTGACTCATAACAACCTTACAGCTCTGAAGCCTGCCCTTTTGAGCCAGTCCCATTAACCCTGAAACACCTACTCCATTACCCCAGTTACTTTATCAGTTCATCTCACCCAGAGTCTTCTTCTCCTGTACTGCCCTTCCATCCTTCCAAGCATCATGTCCTTTTTCAAGGACTGGTCCCTCCTGGTCATGTGCCCAAAGTATGGAATTTGATCTCAGAAGACTAAGTGGAGATTGGCCTCATAATTAGTTATAGTAATCAAACCAAAGTCCCTAAAGCCACGGCCATCAAGTAAATTCCAAATTACAGGGCACAGTAGATCTTCACCAAAGGGTTTCCAAGACTATACTCTTAATAGAGCAGATCACTCATATTCCTCTCCTAAAGTAGCTGGTGGATTTGAGCCACTGATAAATGAGTATTTAACCACAGAACTACCACAAATCCTTAATGAGAACACTTAGTAATATTTGTCAAGTATTTTAATGTTTTGTGTGAGCTGAAGACTATCCTAGTAGTTATATAAAATGATAAATTAACTACGTCAGTTTACTTTTATAAATATATACTGCTGATATTATTAGTCCCATTTTATACACCAAAAGTTGGAGTCCAGAGAATAGCTTTGCTTGGTAACATATTTCATACTGGCAGAGTGATGTTTATTCTAATTTAATTTTGTTGATACTTGACACTACATGCTTTATTCCTATGATTTCAATACTACAATATAATGATTCAGGTTAATTAGCAGTTTTAGCTCAATTTAATACTTCTAAAAATCCTCATTATTCAGCAATAGTAATTGGAATTTTCGATTTATAGAATATGTCTAGGTCATTCAAAAACTTATACTTTTAGAATTAGTAAAACCATGCTTTTTTAACTTTTAAAGCAAATAAAATTGGACAAAATCTAACTTGGTATGATTTTTAAATCAGTTATTGTTCATGAGTTGTTATATACCATTGACTTGCCTGCAACTCATGGCGACTCTATGCCCAATAGCTCTGAACCCTTTCCTATCTGGAGCCAATCTCACTGCCTCTGACATACATACTCCCACTATCCCGGTTCCTATGTCAATCTATCTCATCCAAGGTCTTCAACTCCTGTACTGTCCACCTTTCTAAGCATGATGTCTTTCTCTCAGAGCTAGTCTCTTCTGGCAACATGCTCAAAGTATGTGAGCTAGAGCTTCAAAATCCATGCCTTCAAGGACAAACTTGGTTTCACCATCCCCTGGGCAGATATTTTTGTTCTCTTAGCAGTCCATGGTATATTCAATACTCTTCTCCAACACCACAACTTAAAGGCATCAATTCTTCTATCATCCTTAGTCATTGTCCAGCTCTCTGACGCATAGCAGATTAGGCACTCATTAGTCTCTAGACTGATATTGAGGCTCTTCAGCATTTTAGAGAGGTCCCTGACAATAGATTTTCCTAAAGCAATTCTTTTGATTTTCTGACTGCAGGTGCCAAGAGTGTTGATTGTGGAAGCAAGCAAGCTGAAATTGTTAACAATCTATCTCATCACCATCTATCATGATGCTTTCAGTTAGCCCAGTAGTGAGAATGTTCATTTTCTTGATGTTGAACTTCAACCTATAATGAAAATTGCAGGCTTTGACCTTCTTCAGTAAAAACTTCAGGTCCTCCTCAGTTTGGACAACCAAGATTGAGTCATCTACATTGTGTAGGTTGTTGATGAATCTTCCTCCAATCCTGATGCTATATTCTCCCTCAAAAAGTGAAGTCTTCTTAGTTATCTCTTACACATATAGCCTAAAAATGTATGGATACAGGACACATCTCTGACAAACTCCTTTTTGGGGCACGTAATGTTTACTTGCTCTGTTCTGATGAGTGATTCCTTATCTAAATATAAGTTTTGCACAAACACAATTAGGTGTGCTTATACTTCCATTTTTCCCAAGGTTAGACACCGTTTGTTATGACTCACACAGTTAAATTCCTTTGCATAGTCAATGAAACAGATAGACATTCATCTGATACTCTCTGTTTTCAGCCAAGATTCTTCTGATACTAGCTATGATGTCACTAGTACACAACCTTTTCTAAACTCAGCTTACATTTATGAAAGTCATCTGTCAATTTACTGTTCCAGTCATTTTTTAAAATTATCTTCACCAAGATTTTATTTGTGTACGGTATTAATGACATCATTCAATAATTTCCATACTGCTGGATCACTTTTGTTAAAAATGGAAATGTATAGGGATCTCTTATAGTTAGTTGATCATATATCTGTCCTGAAGATTTCTTCACACAACCTGGTGAGCAGTGAAGGGATGCATCTGCTTGTTGAAATATTCAATTGATATGCTGTCAATTCCTGGGCCCTTATTTTTACCAGTTCCTTCAGAGAAGCTTGAGTTTCCTTTTTCATCACTTTTGTCTCTTGGTCATATGTTGTTTCATGAAACTCTTCTGCGTTAGTTAATTCTTTTTAGTACAGTGACTCTGTATACTCCTTTCATGTTTTTTTGATGTTTCCTGGGTCATTCAATACTTTGCCCCTCTCATCTGTAAGTATTGGAACTCAAGGCTTGAATTTGCTCTTCAGTTCCTTCAGTTTAAGAAATGCCAAGCCAGTTTAACTCTTTTGATTTTATGACTCCTGCTTCTTGCACTTTTCATTATAATACTTTGCTTTGTCTTCCAAAGCTGTCATTAGAAATCTCAGTTTCAACTCCTTAAATTCCTATTTCTTTCCTTTGTTTTGACTTCCCTGCACTCTAGTGCAATGTTCAGAGTCTATTCAGACATTCATCTCAGTCTTGTCTTCCTCTTCTCTCTTTGCAATGTGACCTTTTGCATTCTTCCTGGATGATATTCTTGATATCTTACTACAGCCCATTTATCTGTTGTTTTTTGGTTATTATCTTTTTCATCATAAGTATCCTTGAATTTGCTAATGATATATTTAAAACCCTGGATAAAATTTATTCTTTGAAATATAAGTTTTCTGAATTTATTTATAATTGTTTCTTGAACCATGCATTAAGCACTACAATGATGTGTATCATTATTACCTGTGTGAATAATAATCTTATTGCTCAAACTTCTTCAAAGTGTTTATATCTTTT